TTACTCCTCTTTCTGTATCAGAAAGAAATAAAATAAACTTCAAACTTCAAACTTACTGTGTGGGTATTTGTAAAACTCACTAATTGACGTATTGACAAAATGATTATTTGATGAACCTATTAGCTGATTGGTTGATTGATATGTGGGGTTTAACGTCCCGAAACCACCATATAATTACGAGAGAAGCCGTAGTCGCGGGATCCAGAAATTTCGTTCGCCTAGGGTTCTTTAATGTGCACCCACATCTGAGCACTCGAGTTCGTAGAATATCGGACGCGTAGGCCGCGGTATCGAAACCTGCCAGCGGCAAGTTCTCTTTTCGTCCACTTTTCTCCCTTCACATCTACGTTACAATGCCAATACGTGCTAGCATCCAGTACCAATAATGCCAATACGTGTTAGCATCCCCTATACTTTCCTTGGCATTGTACGTTGGTTCTCATTATTATTGTGTTTAACAAAGAAAAAAAACAAGCCCTTATAATTACACTTTCATTCTTCTGGTAGACTGTGCGTCATCAAATGTCGCTATCAGTGGTGTTAGTTCTTAAGCCGCTTATGGTAAGAACCCCTGAAGTAATTCGGTTGTCGTGAGTACCCCCTCCCCCAACCTCCGGTAAAAAAATCATGGTGCCACCTCTGGCAAAAAAGGTTATTTAGCCTGCTGCTATACCTTTATGATTTAGCCTCACTTTCAGACGTGACCCAACTAGCATGGTCTGCGCAGACGAATCCATACTGCAAGACATCTGCGGAAACAGTAACTTATGCTGTCGTAAACAAAGTTTCGAATTGCTTACACTGATCTTTAAAAAATGTGCGAAAATTCCTGATATCAGAAAGTAATGAGCTATTTCTCTCAAATTTAGCCGAGCATTTGGATTGATATAACCATTGCCTATTAGACTCCTTCGAGGAACTTCCTTCGCGCTTCACTTAATCGTAATCTCTGTCGAATATCAACCTGCATGTGGCATTAAAAATAATTGTACGACAGACAGGGCCGTACCCAGGAATCTTATTTTTTTTTTTCGGGGGGTCCTTAAGTACAGAAGGGCTAACATTGGCGGCTGGTAGTTGATGTGAAGCCGTGTGAATACTTCGGTATCACCCGAAAAGAACCACTTCCTCTCCACCCTAGTATGACGGCCCTCAGAGCAGGCATTATATACAATATATGTAAACATACCAATAACATTATTTGCTTCATGCGAACAAAGGCTGAGTTGATAATCAACTCAAGAAGCAGAGACATCTATAGACTTCAAATTATTGCTTTTGCAGTGACCTTTAAAATTTCTGGACGTTATATATGTATAATTCAGTATATATACCGTTCCAAACTGCCACTCCGGCATGTAGTAGACATTTGATTCAGGCGTCGGGAGTATATTGTTCGTAATGTTTTTTGTACATGTTTTCGTCTCAAATTATTGTGATATCGTTGTTGTTTCCTTTTTAACCCATTGAAGGATTAATTATTTTGCAGATATGTGACGCTGATGGAGTGGCTTCCAGGCGAAAGCCTTAGATGCTTCATCCAGTGAGACGCTGCCTTTTGAATCACGAGTATTGACCGTCGGTGTCGATCAAAACGAATGATGAAAAAAAAAAAACGTCATGCGTTGACGTCATCATGTTGCGACGGGTATGAGCCGAGGAAAGAGAAGAGAAGGAAGGCGTGAACTGGTGCCGCTTAGCGAAGCCATCATTATGCGACAACAAACCTCACCCCTGTAAATAAACACAATTCCACCATGCCCGTAACAGTTTTGGAGTGAAGGTGCCGCATGTGTTCTTCGCCCAAGACGCCGGCCGGATCCTAAGCCGAAGTCGATGCCTCAGTTGTCTTCCTCGTCCTCCTTCCTCAGTTCATACCCATTACATTTCCATAACGTGACATCACACGATATCGGGTGGAGTACAATGACTGAGAAGACAAAGAAGAACGCTTCCGTCTTGGAGTCGTCTTAGGGCGATATCGGTCAGCTAGACAAACTGTAGGGGAGCCTTGAAATCTGAAGTGTGGCAGCTTGGGCTAGTTGGTATGGCATGACGATACTTATAGCGCGAGAACAAAACGATGACAGAAAGACCAGAAGGACACTCGTGTCTTTCGTGTCCTTCTTGTCTCTGTGTCGTCGTTTTGTTCTCGCGCTATAAGAATCGTGAAATCTGAAGTCATGCTGTCAGCACACGTCCCCGCCCAAGAGAAAGATAAATGTCTGTATATAACTTTTTTCTTTCCATTTTCATTCTTAATTTCTTTTTTTCTCTCTTCTGTCTTTGAGTCCCCAATCCCCTTCCCCACGCAGAGTAGCAAGTCAGCGACACACAAATGCCGGCTAAATTCTGTGCTTTTCGATAAAGAGCTCTCTCTCTCTCTCTCTCTCTCTCTCTCTCTCTCTCTCTCTCTCTCTCTCTCTCTCTTAGGGCGATTGTAATCGGGGCGGTGTGAGTTTCTTGCTATTTGCCTAGTCAAGGATAACAGATATCAGTCAATTTTATTCATTTTGCTTTTATTACTGAAACTTTTCATCCCCTACAAAGCGGGGCGGCGTCCAATATAACCGCGTGTGAACCTGTTGGGTGCCCCCTGTAGAGTGGTCGTACGCGGTCCGTAACGAGCGCTGACCCGTGAATGGCCCGGGAAGAATGACACCCCGTAGTTATACATGCACACAGCGCCGAGCAGCGTCCCGTTGCGAAAACGGAAACCCGTAGAAAGACGCGCGAGCTACCCGTACACGGATGCCACGCTCCCCGAAATAGACATTCTGCGCCACACTTGCACTATATATATGGAGGGATGAAGAACGAGAGAACGTGGCAGCGCGAGAACGCTGTGACGTCATAGCGATGAAAGCCACGGAAAAAAGAAATTTGCGGCTCAAATAACCTACCCAACGACTGGGACACTCAAGAGCATGTATGGGTCCACATTCGATTGAATAGAACCTCGAAAAAACACCTAGTAAGCGTTATGAAAGCGCGCAAAGAGCCTCAACGCACTCGCTTGCGCGCGGAACGTTCTTAAAGGTAGAATCCGGGTTCAAGCTAATTAATATACTATTTATAACTGAGGAAGCTTTCGGATCAATATTGAACGAGGACACAAAAGACGGAGGAACAGGACGGGCACAAAAAAGAAAAAAAAACACAAGAAAAATAAACAGCTTGATCGTTCCGTTTTTGTGTGCGTGTGTGTGTCGTCGTTGAATTTGCGCCCAAAAGTTTCCTAAGGTGTGTATCCCGTCTTGTTAAGAGCTCGCCAGTGGCTAGAGCATCAATATTAGATTCACAGGCTTTAAACCCAGCCGTCGGAACATATATATGTGTGCACGCCATAAGAGAAGCGTGCACGTCAGTGAAGATTTTTTTTTTAATTTCCCCCCCTCGATCATTGCGTGATCCCCATGCGGGCGCTGCTGCAGATCATTATGTCACCATAGAAATACTTAGTGTTTGACCCACACAAGAGAAGATTTTCGGCGAGGATAATTCGTGATTTGGGCGTGCGGTGGTCCTCCCATAACGGAAGGCACCCTGTAATGGTGACGATTCAATCAAAGCAGAACGCACGAGATGATAGCTGAAACTGAACAGCCATCTGTATACGTTCTCTTAACCTCTGGACTTGCCTGCCATACGCCCGCGCTGTTATTGGCTTTCCCTTGTGAGTTTCTAATAGGTGTGGCTCTTTGGAGGATAGATTTGTGCCCTAGCTCTTCGTAGGTGAATGTTATCTGTACTTTATAATAAAGATGTTCTCGCATTGGGATCGTTTCTGGCACCAGGACGTCCATCAAGGCGCTCTGTATGCGTATATGTGAAGCTATGTGACAAATTTTTATAAATAATCACACGGCAAGTTGGATTACGTTGGGGTGGTTGGATAAACGTACTCTAAACCTACCGCTTTGCGGCAACATGCGACCTTTAGCGTGGAGGTAAGCTAAGTGTAATGAATGTGGTTCAGAAGAAACCTGATACCTGCTTTTGCAAGTATGCGGCTTTTTTTTTAATTTTGAAAGACCGCCTTTACGCATAGTACTACGTCGTGTCATAAATACACATTAAAATTTGCTTCATGTAGGAAGTATATGACAGCGAGCGGTAGAACGGTCCGTGATTCCAGCGATCAAGGTCGGTTGGCCGGCCAGGCCTGCTGCACGGAGGTTGGCGAAGACGGCTTAAATGCAGGCAAGCAAGAGTCCACGACAGATGTGTCACCCTCACATCGCTTATTGGGACGGCCACTTCTTCATATGACCAGTGTTGACCCCTCTAATAACGTCCATATGGTCGAAGAGCTTTCGCTGGAGAGTCAGAAAATTGGATGCTCTAGCAACACGTGGACATTCGTCTCTCTCTTACTCTATTACGAGCAAAGCCCTTGAAGCTCGAAGTACAACGTAAAACGTCCACCGTCGGCGAAACACCTTCGCGTCGTCTGCCTAGCCACGCATGCACCAATAGGAGCAGCCGCCATCAAGTGACGCCTACCGATGGAGACAGTCCACGCAGCCGTCGGGCCGATTCTGTCCGCCATGGCACGAGCCAAGTGCGAGCGACAAAATACCCGCTCTTCTACAGGGAAAGTATCTGCTGCTTTGCTTGAATCACTAGCTTGCACATTAGCTTCTGGCGCTGGAGTTGGGTCAATCTCGCTGCGGCTGTAGTTCGACTCTAGACTTTTGTCGGCATCAAAGAAAAAAAAAAAGCATCGGCCAAGAAGGCGACCTTAAACCCGCAAGATCAACCAGCTTCGCCTTACACGGTTAGTGTAAACATGTTAATTGGTTATTTTGTTTTTTATTCGTTTAAACGGTGTGAGGTACAGGCCAGAGAACTCGACTTGGAAAAGGCCGCTTAGAAGCGAATGTAAACGCGTTAAAAAATGGCGCCCGACAGTGACACACATGCACATACTCATCGATCCACACAATCGGACCTCCAAGAAAACCGAACGCTGCAGCGCACCCCAGTGCAGATCTCACCTTGCGTACTTTCCCGTTATGGCAAGCGGCTCTCCGCCGTCAGTCGAGCCAGCGTCCTCCTCCCGAAGGTCTCCGCCACGCCGAAGATCCCGACTTCTACTGCGATGATGAGGTCCTGTTTTTTTTCAATGTGCTCTTCAGGTATGACTTTCGGATGGCCACGCGCACATATACACACACACGCAGTTCTCTAGGTCTTTGACTGAACACACGTTGACGTTCATCAAAACCGCTTCATGCTGCAGGACGAAATCTACGCCGGCATCTAAGCACGAGTGTTCTCACCTGCTCCTGTTAGTCTATTGCACTGCAGAAGGCAAAGCTCTTCGAGCAGCAGACATGCCAATAAACAGCTGGTGAGATCAGACCACGTCCACGTTCGGAAAAGGCTGTGTTCACCCGGACTCTTGTCTGGAGGGTTTGATTGAACTTATCGACCATCAGATGCGGCAAGGCATGTCCGCGGTCACCAGCATGATGTATTCGACGACCTCAACCTCCGCAGACGTCGTAGCTCTCCCGCCGAGTTTTGAGACCGATTCGCACGGTTTGTCGACGCCGCCTCGCGGAGCACGTGGATCTCTCGCTGTTACGTCGACGACGCGGGCGAACAACGGACGAAAAACCCCACCCACCGCGAGCGGTCCCGCTGCGTCTCTCTTTGTTGCTCGGTTGGCCGACTGCTGGAGCTGCTTGCTACGGATGCTACAGGGATGCGAAGGAGGGGGCGAGGAAGGTTACCATAACCCAGTTTGCCTCTCCGCCGTAGCATGGCGAAAAGGGTCGCAGGCTGTTGCACTTGGGCGTGATGCTGGCAAAGCCTGCAGAAGGGGTGGAGGGGGGGGGGCGTGCTACCACCACCCTTCCCGACACGGACGCTCCCGTTGGTCGGCGTGGCGTGAGAGTCCGTTGCGGACCGCCGCGTCTGCCAGAGGGGCAACGGCCCATGGACGAGGCACGTCGTCGGCGAAGCTCTCCGCGGGCGATGGCTTGCGGCGCGGCTTTGGCTTTTTTTGCGGACGTCTACCCTCCACACTTCTCTTTCACGCCGACAGTGTGGAAGCGTATACATAGGTGTCCGCGTAATCCTCTTGAGCGCATCCGTGGCTGTGGTGGGTCTGTAAGCTTTATACACACAGGTATACGCTAGAACTCATTCTTACTACGGTAGCACTTAGTGGTGTAATCGGCTAAAAGCAGCGTTTTATTCTTCTTCGATGAGTGCCACGGTGGCAGGAAGGGGTGGTTATGGAACCGCTTCGTCGCGCCTTGGAGCTGTCATCCGTAGAATCACCAGAGCGTGCATGAATACCATTCCTGTTAGGCGTACTTACATAGCTTCCACCAGGCTATAAAAACTATACCAGATTTTTTTTGCGGAGTTATAACAAAGTTTTACGCGTTCTACGGAGGAAACGGTTATAGGCGTACTTGTCGGATTGGTTACGGTTGAGATGCTTCTTACGGGTATCTATATTTTTAAGCAAGCTTACCGGGCACCGGTCCCCTCTGTCGGCTTCGCAACAAGGATGTGCAGATTAGAGCGAAGCGTTGATTCTGCATCGTTTTGTTTTAAAAAACGCTGCCGCTAGAAGATTAATTTCAAATACTGCTTACTAAATATGGTCAGGCACTGTGCTTGGGCCGCATTTGCCTTTATCTTCAGACAACACGTATGACCGTGCACGTTCGAAGCTACACGGAGTTATATTTTCATTCAAGTATCCCGCTTGATATACGTAACAAACTTTTTCATATTTAAGCGATAACCTATCGCTTACACAGTAAGTCGTATTAAAAGACAGTATAGATGCAAACATTATAAGAAATCTTGCACACTAAGGCCATTTGCACCTATTTTACATTTGTAGACCCTCTAAACGATAAAATCTTGAATTCTATTCACTTTTTAACCCTGCCCTAATGGCCCCGCCACGGTGGTCTAGTGGTGATAAGGTACTGGGCTGCTGACTCGCAGGTCGCGGGATCTAATCCCGGTTGCGGAGGCTGCATTTTCAATGGAGGCAGAAATGCTGTAGGCCCGTGTGCTCAGATTTGGGTGCACGTTAAAGAACCCCAGGGGGTCGAAGTTTCTGGAGCCCTTCACTACAGCGTCTCTCATAATTATATAGTGGTTTTGGGACATTGAACACCACATATCAATCAATCAACCCTGCTCTAATGAAAATTAGAAATTTCCTGACAGGCTCTTAGGCCTAAAAAAGTCTTGCGCCATAGAACACCACCAGCCACCATGCGCCGTATCTAAACGCACTGAAGTTCAACGCTAAAACTGTCTAATCTGACGCGCGTGTCAGCTGATTCAGATACCTCAATTAGCCGCGACGCCCAAAAATGACTTCGCAATGCAGCCTGTGGTGTTGGGTTGTCGCGTTATCACATTCTTGGAACGAATTGTTCGCACGTTCTTTTTGTGTGTCACTTTATCCGATAAGGCTCGCTGCCTCGTAATCGTTATCTTGTTGGCGTAACACGGTCAATCATACGGTGCTATCTCGCGCGGTCACGCAGACGGAACGCGGCAGAATCACCGATAAGGACCTTCTCGATAACCGAAACGAAGTGTAGCAGGATGTCAAAAATCCATGATCCTTCTTTTCCTGGCGCGTACGTGGTCTTTCATGAATTCTTGCACTATGACCCTACGATGACCCTGTTATTCTCTGGCGACTCGGCAAAATGCACTCGAGCGGAGGGCACGCACATGTTACTTCATATACGGTCTGTGCTGCTAACAATAATATCTGGGGTTTAAGGTCCCAAAACGGCGATATTATTATGAGAGACGCTGTAGCGGACGGCTCCGGACATTTTGACAATCTTGTGTTTACTTCGCACAGTGCATGGGCCTCTACCGTTACGCCTCCGTCGAAATGCGACAGGCACGACCGGTATCGAACCCGTAACCTTCGAATCAGCCGTATAGAGCACCTAAGCCGCCGCTCCACCGCGGCGGACACGGCCTATGCTGTTATCTGCATGTTACGGCTATACTTCGTCTTACAAACATCCGAGACCTGAAAAACGCGGAAAGGTCATTCATTGCTTTTCTCAGGTTCCACCCTCTCGTGTTCTTCTTGAAGGGACACTAAAAAGTGAAGACGTTCCCCGCGCTGGTGTTAAACGCCGCCTTTACTTAACATACCGTACCCACCGGCGATCCCGGTACAACTTTTATATATTCTGGACTGAAGCGATTGTCTGCAAGTGCTGTGTTCGTATCTCTCCTTGAAATCTTTTTCTAAACGAACCGGATGTTCGTTCTGGTTGATCTGGTTAAGTTTTCTTTTGTTTCATCTCTCTGTCTCTCACTTACTCGGACGCTGCCGCGGTGACAGTGGCTATGGCGCTTGGTCACGGCCCGAAAGACGCGGCTCCGATTCCAGCTACGCGCGGTGTCGCCCATCGACGGAGTTGAAATGCTACAGAGGTCCGCGCAATGCAGTTAATTAGGGAACCTCAGGCGTTCAAGATTATCCGGAGACCTCCACCACGAGGTACCTCAATATCATACCCGTGATTTTGGAGCTTAATGAAACACCAGAAATTATTTCAGCGATATTATTAGATGCCCATGCGGGTATAAATTGGCAGCAGCAAGCACAGGACCGGGTTAACTGGCGGAACATGGGAGAGGCCTTTGTCATGCAGTGGACGTAGTCAGGCTGATGATGATGATGATGATGATGATTAGATGCCCAATCAAAAGCGAAGCGTGACCATCGACATTCAACGCAAGTGATGCCAGAAATAAATACCCTGCGCTGACGTCATCACCCCAAGACGTCATCATGGCATCACAGGTCACCATAATAGTGTGAAGTCATCGTGGCGTCACTTTGACGTCACGTGATGGTGTCATCAAACGACATCGTCACTTGGGCAAAGTTGGGCCGATCCCGGAGTCTCTGCAAAGGCACGTAAGACACTGAAAGGTCACAAAGCTTTGGATCTGAGAGGTAGTGTGAAAGCGCTTTGTATGCAAAAAGCTTTCGTGGTTGCGGGAACCAGAACGATCGACTCAAGTTGAAAATAGGACTGGAATGAAGAAATTACGCGCCTAATGATTTACGGGCATGACATATCGATAATACTCGCAGCGCAGCTATAGCCGTCGACTTAATTGCACAAAGATGAAATTGAAGGCTTTGATAATTATCCTTCACGTAAAACTCCCACGTATGCGAGATCTATACTTTCGCATGTTGCATGGGCGTGCGCAGATAAGCTTTCGTACCTCCTTTCTTTTACCCCGTTTTGCGCCCCTTCAGTTGTTATTATGTATGCTTTTGTGGTTTCCTGGCTTCCTTCTGTGCTTGTTTATACTCCCTGCACTCTTTGAGGAACGTAAGATATGGCTTTCGTCTTTGCGGTCGTCTTAGGCAAATCTATGGGGACTGCGCGACTTTTAAAATTTATTCTCAGCTACGCCGTGGTGGTCTAGTGCACACGGCTGCTTCCCCGCAGGTCGCAGGATCGAATCCCGGAGGCAGTGGCCGCATTTTCGTTAGAGGCGAAAATGTTTGAGGCCCGCGTGTGCATATATATTTAGGTACACGTTAGAACAACCCCCGGTGGTCCGAATTTTCCGAGTCCTTCACTACAGCGTCTCTCACAATCATATGGTGCATGGTTTCGGGACGTTAAACACCGACAATTATTTTTATAAACACTTTCCGCAAATCTACGGTAGTCAGCATGCATATACACACATCACAGCACGTGTCCCGCACAGCGGCTGCGGGGTTCAGCGCGCCGACCTAGAAAAATTCTCACGCGGCGAGAGGAGAAGCGTCGTTGGCCGCGTTACGTCATCGATCAAGCGCGCCGTCTAGCGTGACGCGACGCCCTCCGCGTGTCTCACGACAATGATTCAGACGTGTACAGTGACAATCGACGCATATCTCCGTGCGCCAAAAAGATACGGGTACCAAGTGAGCACGACAACCGTAAAGCCGTTCCACGCGCTTCCCGCACTGCCGCAACGCACGTGCCGGGACCCCTACCGCACGCAATCGGAGGGCAAATAAGCCAATTGGCGACGCTGCGGAGGGTGAAAGAGCGTCGCCAATTGGTTTATTTGTCCCCCACATGCGTGCGGCAGAAATCCCCTCACGTGCGTTGCGGCTGTGCGGGAAGCGCGTGGAACGGCCTTTAAGGGCCTTTCCACGCGCTTCCCGCACTGCCGCAACGCACCTGCCGGGACCCCTACCGCACGCAAGCGGGGGACAAATCAGCCAATTGGCGACGCTGCGGAGGGTGAAAGAGCATCGCAAATTGGCTTATTTGTCCTCCATTTGCGTGCGCCAGGGGTCTCGGCACGTGCGTTGCGGCTGTGCCAGTAGCGCGTGTAAAGGCCCTAAAAGGGCGTATATGCGTGCGGGCGAAGGTGGGTCCGGGGGGGTGGGGTTGATGAGACATCACTTCCCTTTCGAGGGGGGAGTTATTCGACAAACCTTCGCCCTCCCCCCCTAAGGGAAATCATGCGCAGCGCAACCTT